TCTTTGCATAAAATGTTCCCTTGGTATCTCTAACTTTCTTGAAGAGATTTCTAGTCTTTCCCATTCTATTGTTTTCCTCTATTTCTTTGCACTGATCACCGAGGAAGGCTTTCTTATCTCTCCTGGCTATTCTTTGGAACTCTGCATTCAAATGGGTTATATCTTTCCTTTTCTCCTTTGCCTTTTGCTTCTCTTCTTTTCACAGCTATTTGTAAGGCCTCCTCAGGCAGCCATTTTGCTTTTCTGCATTTCTTTTTCTTGGGGATGGTCTTGATTCCTGTCTCCTGTACACTGTCAGAAACTTCTGTCTGTAGTTCGTTCATCAGGCACTCTGTCAGATCTAATCCCTTAAATCTATTTCCCATTTTCACTGTATAATCATAAAATATTTGATTTAGGTCATAAATGCATGATCTAGTGGTTTTACCTATTTTGTTCAATGTAAGTCTGAATTTTGCAGTAAGTAGTTCATGGTCTGAGTCACAGTCAGCTCCCAGTCTTGTTTCTGCTGACTGATAGAGCATCTCCATCTTTAGCTGCAAAGAATATAATCAATCTAATTTCAGTGGTGACCATCTGGTGATGTCCACGTGTAGAGTCTTATCTTGTGTTGCTGGAAGAGGGTATTTGCTATGACCAGTGTGTTCTCTTGGCAAAACTCTGTTAGCCTTTGCCCTGCTTCATTCTGTATCCAAGGCCAATTTGCCTGTGACTCCAGGTGGTTCTTGTCTTCCTAGCTTTGCATTCCAGTCCCCTCTAATGAAAAGGACATCTTTTTTGAGTGTTAGTTCTAGAAGGTCTTGTAGGTCTTCAATAGAACCGTTCAACTTCTGCTTCTTCAGCATTACTGATAGCGGCATAGTCTTGGAATACCATGATATTGAATGGTTTGCCTTGGAAATGAACAGAGGTCATTCTATCATTTTTGAGATTGCATGCAAGTACTGCATTTTGGACTCTTTGTTTACTATGATGGCTACTCCATTTCTTCTATGGGCTTCTTGCCCACAGTAGTACATATAGTGGTCATCTGAGTTAAAGTCACCCATTCCAGTACATTTTAGTTCACTAATTTAAAATGTCGATGTTCTCTCTTGCCATCTCCTGTTTGACCACTTCAATTTGCCTTGACTCGTGGACCTAACATTCCAGATTCCTATGCAATATTGTTCTTTATTGCATTGGACCTTGCTTCCATCAGCAGTCATATCAACAACTAGGAGTTGTTTTTGCTTTGTCTTCGTCTCTTCATTCTTTCTGGAGTTACTTCTCCACTGATCTCCAGTAGCATATGTGGCACCTACTGACCTGAGGAGCTCATCTTTCAGTGTCCCACCTTTTTGCCTTTTCATCCTGTCCATTGGGTGCTCAAGGGAAGAATACTGAAGTGGTATGCCATTCCCTTCTCCAGCGGACCACATTTTGTCAGAACACTCCACCGTGACCCATCCGTCTTGGGTAGCGTACAGGCATGGCTCACCCTTTCACTGAGTTTGACAAGGCTGTGGTCCATGTGATCAGATTGGTTAGTTTTCTGTGATTGTGGTTTTCAGTTTATCTGCCCTCTGATGGAGAGGGATAATAGGTTTATGGAAGTTTCCTGATGGGAGAGACTGACTGAAGGGGAAACTTGATTTTTTTCTGATTGTGGGATCATGCTCAGTAAACCTTTAATCCACTTTTCTCTTGATTGGTGTACCTGTGCTCCCTCCCTGGCATCTACCTGCCTGGAAATCTGTATGCAGGTTGCAGGTCAGGAAGCAACAGCTAGAACTGGACATGGAACAGCAGACTGTTTCCAAATAGG